ATCACTCATTCAAGGCCAGTCTGCACAATTTAACAAGACCTTGCCTCAAAATTTAAAAAGTCAAAGAGTGGGCTCGGTTGTGGCTCAGTGATAGAGCACTTGTCTGGAATGTATGAGGCACTGGGTTCGATCTTCAGCACCACACAAAAATAATAAAGATACTGTGTCCATATACAACTAAAAAAAATATATTAAAAAAAGTCAAAGAGTAAGGCGGACATACAGCTTGCTGGTAGAGCACTTACCTTGTATGTGTGCAACTCTGAGTTTAATCTCCAAAACAGCAAATAATTTTCTGCCTTTTTTTGGTACTGAGAATTGCACCCAGGGGTGCTTTACCATTTAGTCACATTTCTCAGTTCCCTTATAAAGGAATGGATACGACAAAAATAAATAAAGTGATTATATGATCCAAAACATCTTTTTTTTTTTTTTAAGAGAGAGAGAGAGAATTTTATTTATTTTTTAGTTTTTCGGCAGATACAACATCTTTTTTTGTATGTGATGCTGAGGATCGAACCCGGGCCGCACACATGCCCCCAAAACATCTTAATTTGTAATTCAGCAAAGTAAAATGATTCAGTGATAAGAGGCAGGCATATAAAACCCATGAAATTCTTTTCTATAGGAAAAACTACTTTTCAAAAGAGCACAGGAATCAAACATTAGCTCTTTGCAGTTAAATTTTAACGAAGTCACAGGCTTCTTAAGCTGTGTTTTTCCTAAGTTTCAAAATGCAGTGTCAGGAATGGATTTAGGGTGACATTCAAACAGTCACAACAGTGTAACTCTGGGAAGTGATATTCCTGCCAAGAAATGTATTAAGCTAAATCTAATTCTAGGGAAAAAAAAAAATCAGACAAATCCACATTGAGAAAAATTCTACGGAATAACTGACTCATAATATTTCAAACTTCAAGACCAATGTTCATGGTCATAAAATCAAGGCAAGACCAAAAAATTGTTTCACAATGAGGGAGATAAGACACATGACAACTAAGTTTAACACTGTAATTCTGAGATTTAGTTAATATTAATGTATCCATCTTAGTTCCCCGAATTTGATGGTTTTATTTTCAACTGCCCTTGGAAATACAAATTCAACGGTGTTGAGGAGCGTAACAATGAAAGCTTACTCTCAAATCATTCGGCAAAAATAGTTCTTTGTATTGTTTTTGCTGTTTTTCTTTCAGCCTGAAATTGTTCAAAAAAATTTTAAAAATTAAGCACAAGAGAATTTATTCATAAACAGATTTGTTTCTCACATTCCAAGTTTTAGTTTCTTAACAGAATTTACAGCTACAAAGAGTTCAATTAATGCTTCCAAGATTTAGAACAAATTAGTTTCCAACAAAATATTGCCATTTGGACTTTGCCAGTATAGGATTTTATGTTGCACAATCAGGTAGAGCTAGTACAAAGGCGTTCTTCACATAAGGTCACACAAGACCATTCATAATTCTCTTAATTTCTGAATTAAAACTTTCAATCTGGGCTGGGGTTGTGGCTCAGTGGTAGAGTACTTGCCTAGCACACGTGAGGCACTGGGTTCAATCCCCAGCACCATTAAAAAATAATAATAATAAACAAATAAAGGTATTGTGTCTATTTACAACTAAAAATATTTTTTTAAAAAAAACTTTTATCTGCTTCATACTATAGGCATTTATGCAGATCTACAAAAAAACTGGTGTTGTATATTTTAAATTCTACATTTAGGGTAGAAGTACATTGTTTGGAACTCTTTTTTAAAAAAAATATTTTATTTTTTAGTTACAGTTGGACATGATACCTTTATTTATTCATTTTTATGTGTGCTTCGGATTGAACCCAGGGCCTCACAATTGCTAGGCGAGTGCTCTACAACTGAGCCACAACCCCAGCCCCTGTTTGGTGCTCTTTAAAATATTTATTTACTAAAAGCCATGTGCCATGCTCTGTGCCATGGTAGGGATGGATACAAAGACACTCCCTTAAATTACCATCAAAGAAACTAATAAAAGCACAAGATATAAAATAATTATTAAATGGGAGAAACTTAAGGTCAGACAACACTTCTCCCTCAATGAAGAGTAAAATGAAAATATCTTAATATATTTGCTGAAAAGAACAATCTTCCTGGATTCCCCACTGATCACTATTCAGATTTTTCTCATATGTGTAATGCAAATTTCTAATATATTCTCTCTTTGTGTAATTTAAAAGGTTGTTAAGCTAAGTAATAAAACTGTAAGCCATAAACTGACAGCAATCATAGCAGATAAAATGTTCTTCAACATCTAAGACTGAGCTCCTCTGCCTAGGCACCTGTGAGAGAAGAACTCTGACATGGTTTCACCTCAAGGAATCCTAATCATACAATTGATATTCCTGGATTTAGAAGTCTCCACATTCAGTCTACTCTGCTAAAATATTAATATAAGTGCAAAGAAAGAAAATGATACCAGCCCAATTGAAGTTTTCAAAGCCCATAAAAATGAAAGTTTAATATAGCAAAAACTTCTGTTAAAATTCCAATCTGATTAAGTTCAAAATAAGACCTCTACGCATGGGGATACTTCACCCCATACTCACTTGCACAATTTAGACTTTCACAAGAAAAATATGGAATCAAAAAATAAAAGCTGGAATTACCTATAAGAAATATTAAAGTAAGTAAAATGCATGATTATTTTGGGGAACAGTAAAATTGAGCAAATATTTTGCAGATCTTAAATTAGGACTCTAATATAGCAATAATCTAATTTCTCCAGCACAAGATACAACATTGGTCTTAGGCTGTTTTAAATTTTCTTCAGTGTCCTCCTCCTCCTCTCTGGTGAGAAATGAAAAAAAGTTGTGTTCGCTCACTAAAATGTTCACTCTTGGTGCCAGCTATTTTTTCCTGTGATTTATCTGTTTTACCTGGCATTTTAGGAATAACTTATTAATTATAGGATCTTTCCTATAACAACTAAGTATCAGAGAATAAAAGTACAGAAATATCTTAGGTGAGGTTTTTGGAACCAGTCATTCAACAGAGAAAAGGATTAAAATTTAGTCCTCAATTCCTACTCCCCACATTTATCTGAGTTGGTTTTGTTTTTGAGGAGGAGTTAGGATAATAGGATTCCTGTTGACTGTTAACAATAGTTTTTTTTTTAAAGTTACTATAATAATTTTAAATGTTCTCTGAGTAAAAATTTCAGTGCTCAAAAACTGGTGGGGCAAAAAAAGACTGAAAAACTTCTTAAAGGAAAAAAATTAAACCATCATAGATTTTAACGTACAGTTTCTCCCTTAGAACAAGCTTGCTCAAAGAAATGCTCATCCAAGCGTTTAATAATCATGAGTTCACTTTCCCTTATAAAATTATTACTAGAACAAATTACCATTTATGATATTGTGGTAGTTAGATCTTAGAGGAGTCACAGTGCTTTTCAGTTATTCATTCTAGTGAAATGCAATCTGCGTTTTATCTCTCCCTTCTTTTTAAAGAAGTGGTCTTGCTACACTGCCAGGCTGGCCTCCACTTCCTGAGCTCAAGTGCTCTTCCTGCCTCAGCCTCCTCTGTAGTTGGGACTACAGGCACGCGCCACTCCAAGGCTATTTATCGCTTTTAAATTCCCCACTACTAGTGGTATTTTTTTCCGAAGGATTGAACACAAAAGCCTCTCGCTAGTAGCGATCCACCCCCAATCATCTCCCGGGGGAAGGTTTCAAGTAGTACTCCAACATACAGACTGATAACCTCTATTATAAAGTTAAACTTACAACTAATTTTTGTTATCTATCCGTTTGTATTCCTAAGGAGGTACTACTCATACAGTTTCCCAGCAGTTGGCAAAGCGCCTGTTTACTTAGTTCCTTGCGCCTGAGGAGGTACTGTGCAGTTCAAGAGAACCAAGACCACATGCTGGAAACGAACTAGTTCTTGAAAAATCACCTTCCTCCAAGTGTCTGCAGTGATACTAACAATGTGAACGGAGGTATTTTAAGTGATTTCCAAGATAACTGATTCTACGCAGTTAGAATAGTTGTAAGATAAAAGTGAGGAAAATCTAATATAGTGACTCTTATTATAAAAATTATTATCTTACATAAGCGAATAAAGGAGCTCCTATGTGTCCATGCGACCTAAGCAGGACGCCAGAGGGGGGGGGAACCTACCCCGCACGCCTTCATTCTCATCCCTCTCCCTTGCTCTTCAGGTCTCCGGGGCCCCTGTCCTTGCAATCGGCTGCGTCCGCCTTGTCCAACACACACCGTGGGGCTTTGGCAGGGGCGACCTCGGATCTGCCCCTGACTCCCCAGCTTCTGCACTACCCAAGGGTCCGGACCCTCCATTAACCACTCCAGGTGGCCTACCTTCCCAGCCAGGGAGCGAAGCCACCTAGGGGCCCCGAGCCCGCGCCCCGCGCCAGCTCCGGCCCAGGCCGCCCCCAACTGTCCCTGGGTGCGGGTCTCACCTCTCCACCCACTCTCTCAGGAAGCGCATCTCCTCGGTGTGCAGGACGCTCGGATCCTGCTTACACATTTTCACGAAGGCCCGAAGCTCGCTCACTTTGCGGGGATCCATGGTCGAGGAGAGGCAGGCGGAGGCGGCTGCGGCCCGTTCCCAGGCCCGGGCGCTGGCTCAGCGTGACCGCGCAGAAGGGGGCGGATGCCGAGAGGCCGAACAGACTAGAACCTCCCCGGCCGCTGGCTCCTCCCGCTAACGGCCTCGTGACCCTGGGTCCTTCGCTCGCTCAGCCCGTCTCCCTCTACCCGTGCTCCTGAGCGCTGCGTAGAACCTTCTAGAAATGTGGCTGTTCGCGTTATTGCCTGCCTCTCTCGCCAACATTCTCAAATGTTTTCTTCTGATTGGAGTTCCCCAGGACGGGTCCAGCCCTCTTCCTGGGCACTTTGAAGCGAGCTGGAAACAGCCCTTCCAGTGAACCACTGGAATCAGACACTCTGGGAAGGTGGGCGTTAAGTGGTACGTGAAGCCCTAATGAAAAAGGGCCCCGCGGCCAGAATGCCGGGTGCGGGCGTTGATGTCAGCATTCTGCGCCGCCGCGAGAGGAAAGCCCGCGAGCGGCGCCAGCCGGAAGGGGAGGGGCGGTTGGTCCGGTTTCCTGGCGACGCGGCTGTGCTGGTGGCTCCTTCGCGGGCTGATTCCCTTTTTTTTCCTGACGTGTGAGCTGGCAGTTATGCTTTGGCTACTCTCTACTCCCAAGCTGGTTCCTGCTTTAGCAAGCGCCCGCGGCCTCTCAGGTTAGACTCTTCTCTCATGGTGTCCCCTCCAGGGCTTGTTCTTGGATTAACCTGAGGCGCCCCAGAGGTAACTAAGTTGGTCTCAGGCGATCCCTGGCTCTGCGGATCCTTCTCCTGCGGGTGCCTCTGCGGATTTCTTCTTTGTCGGCTGCTCCTGGAAAGGGTGGGCCCCCAGTTCTCTCTACCATTGAGGTATTCTGGGAAGCTTAAATGACTGCAGAGAGAAAAGTGTGTGCCATCCCCCGGAGGGACTGTCTTCAAAGTTACTCGGACTCAGAAGTTTTGTCCGTTATCATCACACTCGCTTAGGTGACAAAGTCTTTCACATCAAGTCGTTCTTGTTTCTGTTAGGTCAACCAAAAATCCTGTTTTAAAAGCGTTGATTCCAGAGCTGGCTCCGGAATATACAAGAAATATGTTTGGTAACAAATCTTTTGAGCAGTTTCTCTCAGATTTCCAAAGATATTTGGAAATGCTGCAGGGGTTTGTAATTTTTGTTTGTCATGTCTGAAAATTTTGTTTGTAATGACAAGATGAAGGAGCCCAGGAACAAGGGGAACCATGTTTTGTCGGTTGTCCTCTATCGCGAAACATTAATCTGATGGACAAAGTTTAAAAGTGAAAACTGAATCATCTATTTTGCGGACAAATCTGCCATCGGATCATATTTCAGTTTGGGGGACCAGTATGGGAACCAGATATGATATGATACTGGATATCAAAGCTATGTTTTGGCATTTATGATGTTATATTTGGACTCATTGAAAATGGAATGTAATATTACCAACTTACCTCTTTCCTATAAAAACCAAATCACCATCCAGTGCACAGAATTACTCTTCAGTTCTAATAGTAAAGCTTTATGCAGAAAGCTGGTGGGAAGAGGTGAAAAGATAGATTGTACAATTGATCAATCTTTTTTTTTTTTTAATATTTTATTATTTTTTTTTATTTCTCGGCGGACACAACATCTTTGTTTGTATGTGGTGCTGAGGATCGAACCCGGGCCGCACGCATGCCAGGCGAGCGCGCTGCCGCTTGAGCCACATCCCCAGCCCCAATTGATCAATCTTAATCATAGAAACCAGTCTTCTGATTGAGCTGGAACCATCCTTTGCTTGTGACCTTTGGTTTTCTTGAAGCTTTGTAAAACCCAGTTGATCGAGGTAGGACTAGATACTACATTATACATACCAAGATCTTTACAAAATTAATTCATTATCCTTCAGTTTACTTCCATAGAATAAGCAAGTTTTTAACTCGATAAATGAATGATCTTGAATCTTCTTAAGTCCGAGAAGGAACTTAAAACACAGGATGATGGTTCACAAGTCAGGGATTTTACATCAAGCACCTTGTATAGTATTGTATCTAGTCCTTTTTGTTATAGCACCAGTATATCTAAGTAATTTTGGAACTTTTTATTCATCAAGTGAGCCACGAAGAATGCATTTTAATGCAATAAGTAACTTTTTTCCTTGGGATGTGGGGGATTGAATCCAGGGCTTAACACATGCCAGGCAAGCACTCTACCAGCTGAGCTACTTCCCCAGTCCCTCATTAACTTTTTTTTTTTTTTTGAGAATTTTAATATTTATTTTTTAGTTTTCGGCAGACACAACATCTTTGTTTGTATGTGGTGCTGAGGATCGAACCTGGGCCGCACGCATGCCAGGCGAGCGCGCTACCGCTTGAGCCACATCCCCAGCCCCTTCATTAACTTTTTAAATTAGTCATTGTGGATGGATTGCCACTTCCCTAGATTGCTCAGTCTGGTCAAAGGGAGATAGACAAACAATAAATGACACTGTAGTTGAGTGTGATAATAGTCTTGACCAACGCTACAGATAACACTATAGCTAAGTGTGATAATAGAGTCTTGACTCCAGTGACAAGGAAAATAGTCATGAATTGTAAATACTATGTTACCCTGGAATTTTTTTACATTTTAGAATTTGAAAATTCCATGCCTGAGGTACTCATCAGTAAACCTTTGAGTATCTGTAGTTGTTCTTCCTTAGAAAGGCTTTGGGTGCAGAAAGTTGAATACTGTAGGAGACTTGCTTATCTGTGAAAGTCATGCATTCATACCTGGCATGGTAGCTCACACCTGTAATCTCAGTTAGTCAAGAGGCTGAGGCAAAAGGAGCATGAGTTCAAAACCAGTCTCAGCAACTTAGTGAGGCCCTAAGCAACTTAGTCCAATCCCCAATACTCTAAAAAAGAAAGTCATGCAAACCTAAATTGAATTTATTGTATTTTTCACTTGTGTATGTGCGCGTGCGCATGCGTGCCTGTGCATGTGTGGATGCGGGGGATTGAACCCAGGTCCTCATGCCTGCCAAACACTAGCTCTACCACTGAACTACACCTCCAATCCCAGATTGTAAACCTAATAGAGATTTCATTAGATGAACTATGTTATTAGCACCATCCAGTCATCTGAGGACAATAAAACACTAGTGATGCATAAATTTGTTGTATTTTAAAAGATTAAAGCATTCAAAATATATCATTTTAAGTCTGACATGAGAAAAGGAAATACTGAGAATATTAAAGACAGTATTTTTAAAAACCTATTTGCAGATAACTCATTCAGCAAACATTGCGCACCAAACAATGAGCACTGAATGTAAAAGTGGCTGCTTTCATGGGAGGCAGATTAGGCAAATAATTGTAATACAGTTACAATGCAGGAAATTCTTTTCAGCGCTTACTGAATTTAAGCATCTTAAATGTAGTGTATCCAAACCTTGCACTCTTATCTCAGTGAATACAACTCCCTTCTTCCTATATTGTGCTAAAAACCTTGTCATCCTCTTTCTGTCATATCCCAAAATTGTCAGCATATTCTGTTTAACCCTACCTATTGAATATCCCACATTTTTATAATTCTTTGCCACTGCGCTGGACCAAACCACTATATTTTCTTATGGCAATAGTGTGGTTACCATGCTTACTTTGAGTCTGTTTTCAACCAAAGCGGCCAGAAGGGTCCTATTTAAATATATCACGTTTTGTCACTCTTTTTCTCAAATCCTCCAGGGGGAGCTTCCTATCCTGTGTATGATAGGCAATGTGCATACTGTGATCTAGCGGTTCACGCATAATCTGACTTCCTTTCAACCCTTCTGCCTTTCTAACTTCATCTATTTGCTGTCTTAATTTGCCACATTCGTCTCCTCTAATGCATTTTATGCAGCTGCCTTAGGGATGTGGCACTTGCTATTGCCTGGAATTTACTTTTACCAGATACCCTAGTCAGTATCCTTGGCATGTTGAATCTAACCACTTTCCCTGGCTACTTTAGCTAAAATTACAATCTGTATATCCCAAAATTTTTTTAGACCTAAAAAAAGTTCTGATTTGGATGCAATGGCATATGCTGATATTCCCAAATATTTGGGAGGTTGAGACAGGAGGATCCTTTGAGGCCAGCATGGACAACATACGAAGACCCTGTCTCAAAAAAAAAAAAAAAAAAAAAAGCCCTGTGGAGGGGGGGGGGGGACGGACGTTGGGTACCAAGGATTGAACCCAGGGGTGCTTTATTTTTTATTTTTTTTTTTAATTATTTTATTTTATTTTTGAGAGAGAGAGAGAGAGAGAGAATTTTTTAATATTTATTTTTCAGTTTTTTGGCGGACACAACATCTTTGTTTGTATGTGGTGCTGAGGATCGAACCCAGGCCGCACGTATGCCAGGCGAGCGCGCTACCACTTGAGCCACATCCCCAGCCCCCCAGGGGTGCTTTAAAACTGAGCTACATTCCCAGCCTTTTTTGTTTCTTATTTTGAAACAGGGTCTCACTAGGTTTTTGAGGGCTCCACAAGGTTATTAAGGCTGGCTTTGAACTTGTGATCCTCCTGCCTCAGCCTTCCAAGTCACTGGGATTACAGGTGTGCACCACTGTACCCAGCCAGATTGTTTTTTAATATTTATTTTTTATCTCTAGTTTGTAACTGTTACAGCTAAGATTTTTGTTGTTTTGTTCACTGTTATACCCCAAGAACCTATATAACGCTGCCTGACAAATAGCAGGTACTCAAAAAGTGCTAATGAAAAAAAAATTGAGAGACAATATATTTTGAAACTGAAATCATTACAGGAAGCTACAAATAGTGAATAGTGTTGAATCAAAGTTAACACATTTTAAAAAGAAATAAATATATGCAGATATTTACTTCAGACTACTTGCTTGATACCCAATGTTATTTGTAGCTCATCTGTTTTCTCCCAACATGACCCTAAATTTAAAAGGACATAGGTAGTATTTTAGAATAATGAGTTTGTTGATCCTGAGTACAAACTTCAGATGAAAATAGAAGTGAATGAATGATAGGTTGCCACATATGATATAGCCAGATTCCTCTGAAAAATCTGGATAATACTAGCTTTTTTAAAAAATTGTGGCCTAGCTTACTGCTAGGATTACATGCCTGTAATCCCAGTGGTTTAAGAGGCTAAGGCAGGCAGATCACAAGTTCAAGCCAGCTTCAGCAACTTAGTGAGACCCTGTCTCAAACTTTTAAAAATGGAATGGGGATGTTGCTCAATTGTTGACCACCCCTGGGTTCAGTCCCCCATAGCAAAAGAAAAAAATAATTATGGTAAAATACATGTTATGTAAGATTTACTGTATTAACCATTTTAAAATATCCAGTTTAATGATATTAGTATATTCACATTCTTGTGAAACATCTTCAAAATGTTTTCATATGGCAAATCTGAAGCTCCATGACCATAAACTCCTCTTTTTCCCCTTCTTCCCAGTCCCTAGTAACCAGTGTCCTACTTTCTGAATTGTACTACTTTAGATATGTTATCTAAGTGAATCATACAGTATTTGTCTTTGAGTGACTGGCTTATTTCACTTACCATAATGTCCTGAAAACTCACCCATGTTGTAGCATATGATACATTCTTTCTAAGGCTGAATAATATTTGTGTGTACACACCATGTTTTATACGTTCATCTGTTGGTAGATATTTGGGTTACTTCCTCCTCTTGGTTGTTTTGAATACTACAGCTGTGAACATGTTTGTACAAATATAAGTCTATTTCAACCCAAAAGAAAAAAATTTTATACTTTAATTTGTAGTATCTTTAAGTCATGTATAAAATGCTGTGCCTCCACTGGGAAAAAGTCATTTCATGATAAAAGTATATAGTCTGAACCTGTGTATCTTAATACATTTGTCCACTAATGCTATACATATTTCAAAAGTTTGTATAGTGGTTTTAGTCAGATAAAAGGAATGAAGTAGGTCATAAACTCTAGTCGGGACAAATTCTATATGTAAATAGCTCAAAAATAAAAAATAAATATTTTCAGTTTTCCAAAGTTTTAACATCCCCATGTTACCATAAGATCATGTTTTTCTGACATACCTAATCCAAGCTATAGACCAATGCTCGTAAACCTAATTAAAAGGTCAAAAACATAACCTTGGATAGTATTAAACAAATGTTATCTATAAAACTCTGTAATTAACCAAAACACACAAAGAGTCATGTTCAAATGTTATATGAACATAATGTGTCTAAAGTCAGTTTAGAGATTCCTTTTGGTTGACTTCTTTTTCTGCACTTCTTTGTGCTTCTTTTTTTTCCTCTTACCATCTTCTTTGAATCCTGCTGAGAAAATAGAGGGATCCCAGTTGCTGGTAATGAAAGGTATACCTTGCTCATCATTGTCCACAAAAGTATATTGAGGTACATATTTGGGGCTATAGAAATTAGGTGAGTAATTGTTAAATGAATGTCTTCTGCAGCTGCATTCTGCTGCAAAGCTGTCTTCATCTGCCACACCATTTACAAAGAAGGATTTCAACTCATCATCTTGTATATCTTCTATTCCTTGATAATCCTCAATAATTTTCTTCATATTAATGTTTCTGCCATTAATCTTGCCTGAAGTTGTAAAAGATATATAGTTGCACATCCCACTATCATCAAATGCCAGGGAAGAGAATGAAGGAAGGCCCTCATGCCCCAGTGAATTATATGATGTATATCCTGTATCATAGAAAGAAAATCTCTCCAAAGTTGGATGTTCACTGGTGGTAGAGAAAAAGGATCCTGCACTTCCTCTGCTCTCATAGAAACTTCTCGGACTATTTAAAAGATCCTCAAGTGAGTCTTCAAAGAAGTGAAATGAAAATGGGTCCCTTTCCCTAAAAATTTCTTTAAAGACATCATCTGGCTTACGGAATATGAAGCTATGCTCGTATTCATCCTCGAAATGACTTCCACCTCCACCATTTAATCCTTCCTTTCCATATTTATCATAAATGTCCCGTTTTTCATCATTTGATAATACCTCATATGCCTCAGCTACTTCTTTGAATTTTCTCTCTGCTTCTTCTTTATTTTCCGGATTTTTATCAGGGTGCCATTTAAGTGCCACTTTATGATAAGCTTTTTTAATGTCCTCAGGTGAAGCATATCGCTGTACTCCTAGAACTTCATAGTAATCCACCATGTTTTAACAGCACACTGGATAGTGAGCACTGTCTTTTCCTCGAAGCTCAGGCTCTGTTGGTGGTAGAGGCAGTGACTGCAAATAGGCACATTTTTACATTAAAGGAAATACTACTACCATGAGCCACTGCTAGGAGACATTAGAAGTCTGATTATGTGGCAAACAGAGTTATAAGTTTATGTCAGAGAGGGCTGCATTATGGTGTCATTCCAGGTTAGAAGTAGGGACTGGAACTTCCAAATGGAACTAGACCAGAGACACGCCAGAACATCCTGAATCTTCTACACTGTTTTTACTGTATTCACCCCCCCCCCAAGGTCCCAAACAATGCCTCATAAACTAAAAGGACCTTTTGCTAGTGGCCACAGCATTATGTAATATGACCTCCAGATTACTGAGCCTTAGTTTCTGTTTCCTCCATGTTTTGGTTTAGAAAGAAATCACTTAATGAACTATGTGAAAAAAGATTTTAAGTAGTTGACACATTTATTTTAATTTGTAACAATATAATAAAGGCAGTGATAGAAGAAGTACTGGCTGATAAACAATTGAATAAGAAACATCTGTCCCAGACTAGGATGTCAGGGAAGGCTTCCTGGAGAAAGTGGCTTAATATGCCAGATTTTTGCATGCCAATGGTGAGTCATTTGAGATGGTATCTTTACCCACTTAAATTTACTATGGTGGCACACGTCTGTGATCCCAGTGACCTGGGAGGCTGAGGCAGGAGAATCAGAAGTTCAGAGCCAGCCTCAGCGACTTAGGGGAGGTCAGAAGCAATTTAGTGAGATCCTGTCTCAAAAAGGGCTGGGAATGTGACTCACTAGTTAAGTCCCCTGGGTTCAATCCCTGTTGTCAAAAAAAGTTAAATACTGTTCAATATGTAGTTAAAGATTTTGGAAATTGAACCCAGAGCCTCACACCTGCTAGGCAAGGGCTCTATCACTGAGCTACATCCCCAGCCCAGACTTATTTTTAAATGGATCAGTGGCTGCTATGTAGAGAATAAATGGCAATTGGGAAGCTGAATTAGAAAGCCCAGTTATTTAACCAAAGTTGATTTTCTTTGAGGATAATTTAAATTATCAACAAACTACAACTGAATTTTAAAAAAAAATATTCTATTCCTTGCTCATTTTATTGTCCTAGAAAATTCTCCATAGCAATCTGTTTTTCCTTCTCTATTTTTGTCTGTTTTAATTTCCGTTACATTTAAAACCAGTTCAGTTAAACAATTCTCTAATGAAATATAGAAATGTAGTATATTTCTAGACAGTCTTTCTAAGCTGTTTGCTAGGTCTGAGTATTTTTTGCTTTACATTTATTTTGGTTTTTACATGCTAGTTGTCAAGAGGCATTGTGAAATGTTTAAAACCCAAGTAATTGGAATTCTCTCCAGTATATGTGCTTACATGTATTTATGTGTAACATATGCATGATTATATTTGCCTACCTTTGAAAACAATAACAATATTGAGCATCATTTGAGCACCCTCTTATCATACTGATCCAAATAATTTACATACAGTTTCTCATTTAGCTGACATAGCATTTCGGCAAAATAAACATTTTTGTGCCCATAAGCCAAGATTCTGAGGGATAAAGTAATTTGCCTAAAGCTACATAATTGATTAATGAAAATGTTTAAACTTTCTGAACATAATTTCCAAATGCTGATGTTTCCACTCTACTGCTTTTCTTTTCTTTTTGGTACCAAGGGTTGAACACAGGGGTGCTCTACTACTGAGCCATATCCTCAGCCCTTTTTTAATTTTTTGAGACAGGTTCTCCCTAAGTTGCTTAGGGCCTCACTAAATTGCTGAGGCTGGCTTTGAACTTGCAATCCTCTTTCCTCAGCCTCCCAGATTGCTGGCATATACCACCACACCCAGCTTCTACTACATTTCTTGGACCAAGACTTAAGAGTTTAGGTTTTAGACATCCACAAACATAAATTGAGAACCACTGGTAAGGAGAAAAGTTAGGAAATTGAAAATTCTACCTGATGTAGTGACAGATACCAGCATCTTGAAAGGCTGAGATAGGAGGATCAAAAGTTTGAGGTTTTTGTTTGTTTGCTTATTTTAGTTGTAGATGGACATGATGACCTTTATTTATTTATGTATTGGTGCTGGGGATTGAACCTTTATTTTATTTTTAATATTTTTTTATTAGTTGTAGTTGGACACAATACCTTTATTTATTTATTTTTATGTGGTGCTGAGGATCAAACCCAGGGCCTCACATGTGCTAGGCGAGCACTCTACTGCTGAGCCACAACCCCAGCCCCAAAAGTTTGAGATTTTTAAAACATAAAGTGCCCCTGGATTCAATCCACAGTAATCCTCCCCATCCTAAATAGAAAGAAAATGGAAAATTCTGCTCTTATGAATACTTAGCTGAGCGCTGTGGTATACACCTATAATCCCAGCAGTTTGGGAGGCTGAGGCAGGAGGATTAGGAGTTAAAAGCCAGCCTCAGCAAAAGTGAGATGCTAAGCAACTTGGTGAAACCCTGACTGTAAATAAAATACAAAATAGGGTTGGGAATGTATCTCAATGCCCGGTACCCAAAAACTCATATTTTGAGAAAACTAGTTTTAGTAGAGTGTAAAAATGTAAGGAGAAAAGTTAGGAAATTGAAAAATTAAAACAGGACTTGCTGCTTTAGTCATCCCCCTTGGCTGGGGCCCTCTCCACTCCCAGCTGTTGTGCCATTTTCTCTGATTCGGTCCCAGAAATCTTCTCAAAATTGTTTTCTTGGAATCTGTGCTTTCTTACATTCTTGGCACACTCCAATCTGGTTTCCATCTATACTCTGCTAAAAATGTGCTTGTCAGTTTCTCCAGGGAATTTCATGTTACAGAGTCCAGTGGTTGTCCTTTTGGCTTTCTCATATTCTGAAGCACTTGCCACAGTTTGATTCCTTCCTCCTTTTTAAAAATACCTTTGTTTCTTTAGCTTCCTAAATACCATGGTCTTCTAATTTTCTTATTTTCTTCTGTGCTTTTCACACTTAAAATTTTATAGTTCCAGCCTTTACTCAGTCTCTCTAAGTGGTATCCCAGGGCTTAGATATCACCTATGTGCTTCTAATACCTTCATTTAATTATTATCTAGCCTGTCACTCTTCCTTCTGAAATACTTTCTATTTGACTTTTCTATTGTGATATCCAATAAGTACCTAAAGTCTTTCCTGTTTCATTTAATGGTACACTATTCACCCACTGTTCAGGCCACAAATCTAGGAATTATCCTCTTCTGTCTTTACTCTCTGCATCTAATCAGAAGACTGATTGGCTTTTTGTGTGTGTTTTGGGGAGGGGGGTGCTGGGGATTGAACCCAGGGCCTTGGTGCATGTGAGGCAAGCACTCTACCAACTGAGCTATATCTCCAGTCCCTGATAGGCTTTTTTTTTTTTTTTTAGTATTTATTTTTTTAGTTGTAGTTGGACACAATACCTATGTTTTATTTGTTTATTTCATGTGGTGCTGAGGATCAAACCCAGGGCCTCACACGTGCTAGGTGAGCACTCTACCACTGAGCCACAACTCCAGCTCCCCTGATAGGCTTTTTAACCTTCAAAATATATGTATTGCAAATCCAGTCATGGAAAAACAAAGTCGAATAATAAGTGCCTTTCAAAAATTTAGAGTAGACTAGCAAACTAGGAATTATGTGCAAAGTGGCAGGCATAACAGTTGAAATAAGCATATATAAACATCGCAGGACAACATCTGCATCTGTAGCAGTAGGACTGGGAATGTAAGAGAAGGCTTCCTACCTAAATGATGTTTAATCTGAACTTTTAGAAGTTGTATAGTCAAAAAAAAGCAGGCAAAATTCATTTTAGACCAAGACAACTATATTTTTGAAGGCAAATGCTGTTATGATACAAAATGATTTGCTGGGCATCTTCATGTAGCCTAGTGTGACTTCAGTAATGTTTTTGAGAATTAGTCTGGTCTAGTATCCAGACTGTGAAAGATGCTAAGTTAAGGATTTTGAAGCTTTTTCTGAAAGGTAGAAAATTTTAAGCTTATACAGTTAGTAGAGGCTATACTGTTAAAAAGCTCACTCTGTTATAGAGTTCAAAGACAGCTCCTAGAATTTACATATGACTTGCCTGGCCAAACCTTTAGAAAGTTTGAGGCAAAGAACTACAGACAAGTGCTCTTCTGCTAAGCTATAACCCCAGCCTGAAGCAAAGGACTGGAAAGATCATTTTGGAAATAGCATAACCTACAGAGGATGAATTGAAGAGGCAAGACCAAGACAGGCAGATCAGTGAGGAGACTGTTTCCTCAATCCAGGCACCATTTTCTTTTATCATCCAACAAGTTATTATTTTTCTCAACAATCTTCAATAAATTTAATCTGGGTGAACATTTAAGACTTCTAACTCTCTCCCAAATACATACAACATCATTCATACTTCATAACTCCTACAGAAATCTTTCACTTGATCCATACTTAATCATGTTCTGCCTATGTACTGATTTTATGCTCCAAGGATATTGTTCAGTACTGATTGCGTTGTTGAGATTAAAACAGAAGATCTCCTGAACTGTTGCACAGAGGGAAGAGTGCAAAGATTATGAACTCTGTAAACCTGGGTTTGAATGTTAGCTCCCCAGTACTGTGTGACCTTGTTCAAATTACTTCTTCATCAGATTCCTCTTTTATAAAATAATGATGATAATGTCTACTTCATGTGGAATTTAAAAATCTAATTCCTTAATTTACCATACAATACCTTTAAAGGCCTGGGCCTACCTTCCTAATCTTTTCATCTCCCTCCAGCAGCCCTCACCTTCTGGTAGAGTAGGGTGCTGTTGCCCTGGTGCATTCTTACATGTCTCTTTCCCTCCTCCTGCCCTTTCACATTCAAGCACATGTGCACAGAAATAGGCATTGTCTATTTCTGCAGAAATACCTTTTGTATGTTTTCCTGTGTTCCTCAGAGTACCACATGCCTTTTGTCTTTGCACCCAACTCTAGGCATTATGATAGTTTTGTGTTCTCAAAAACCTAACATATGGCCATGTGGGGTGGTACACACCTGTAATCCCAGCAATTGAGGAGCCTGAGGCAGGATTGCAAGTTCTAGACTAGCCTATGAGATTTAGTGAAACCCTGTCTCAAAAAATGGGCTGGGGATGTGGCTCAGTGGTTAAGTGCCTCTGGGTTCAGTCTCCAGAACCCACCCAAGGGGGGGAAAAAAAACTTGCATTTGAATCTACTTCTACATTTACCATGCAGTATTATAGTGCTTGTTTCTTCTCACCTTGTCTCACGTCTACTTCTAGCTGAATATTCTTAGATTATTTGAAGACCCAGGTAAATAATCTTGATTTTTTTTTTTTTTTTTTTTTTTGTAGTGCTGGGGGTTGAACCCTTGTCATTCTTGTGTCTTCTCCAGCATATGTTCCAATCATGTGCTCAATAAACTTTTGTTCAGTTAGTGATAATAATGTTAACATTTATTATATCCTATGATTAAGCATTTTTCATACGTTATCTGGCTGTAATATTCCAAGAGTAAATATGATATCACTCATACTTAGCATTCACATATTCTCAGTTAAAAAAAAAAAAAAGTTAATTATCTTCTCCTAAATTTTAGGACACAGCCTCAAGCTATCTATGTGAACTCCTTCCTAACCCCTTTCTTGTTTTTTGTTTGTTCCCTTCCTTCGCCTTGTTCCTACCTTTGTTTTACATACATGTATGTGTGTCTATGCATATCTGTCTCCATTATACTGTAGCAGACAATATGATGAGAGTAGAGATGACCTCATTTCTGTTTTCCTAGAGCCCATCACAGGCTCTCACAATGGGGAAGAACCATTTAAATATTGGGAGAAGGAAGGAAATGCTAACTTGCATTTCCTAATCATCCAAAATGTTGGAAATAAATGCATGAGTACCATAAAGGATGTATAGATCTGTTGTTCTATTTCATCCTCTCTATTCTTCCTTCAGGATGCATATCATGTTTGCAGCGAAGATACTCTCTCCAGCCTGTGCCAGAGAGGAGAATTCCAAATCGATATTTAGGCCAGCCTAGCCCCTTCACACATCCACACCTCCTCAGACCAGGTAAGGCCTTTTAACTGTAACAAGCTGTCTCTTCATTTAGGTGTTTTCTCTAGAATATTGATTAAGATTTTTTGCAGTGATACAAGTATTCTAGATCTGTGCTGTTCTGTGAAATATCTGGTAGGCAAATATACATTGGTAATATTGCTAGGATGACTGAGAAACTAGTTTTTATTTTATTTTTAACTAATTTAAACTTAAATAGCTACATGCAATTACTGATACTGTATCAACAGTCACTCCGTAACAGTAAATACAGTAAACCTCATAATTCAAAATAACTAGTGAAAAATATTATTTCAGGATGTTTTTATTTTCATATTGTTAGTCCTAGGGAACAACCGGGACACTTCACCATTGAGCTCCATTCCCACCCTTTTTATTTTTTGTTTTGACACAGGGTTTCACTAAGTTGCCAAGACTGACCTTGAACTTTGAATCCTCCTACCCGAGCCTCCTAAGTCAAAGTTTTTATAACTTTGTCTGACTATTGATTATTTGTAAACTACTGTGTTAAAAGATATTTTTAAGAGCTGGGACTAAGCTTAGTGGTAAAATGTTTGTTTAGCATGTATGAGGCCTTAGGTTCAATCCCCAGAACCACACACACACACAAAGAGACATTTTAAAAAACATCTTTCTCAAAAGTGTTAAAGTTCATTTCAAATATTTTTATATATGTGAAAAAGATTTCCATATTTGTTTGTCATCACTTGAAGAGGCAGTCAATTTCAATTGATAAAGATGATGCAAAAAATTGATAAATTATTTCATTAATTGTTTTTCTGCTGTGAGATCCCAGTATTGCTGCTAGAAGGTGCATCATTGAGTGTTCAAAACTAAAGATGTTTTTTGTTTTCTAAAAAAGCATTTAAGGGATCAGCTGTGATGAATGAATATGAAACAAAGAGGTAGGCATATTAAAACCAAGAGAGTAACATCAAATGCTTTGTAGAAAAAGCATTTGTCAGTTTTTCAAGAAAAGTTTCTCCCACCTTGAGGAGTTAATTAAATCTGTATTTACTATGTAAGCGTATATGTTAATAACATAAGTTGCCTTTAGAAACATGTTATTCTTTCACTGTCTCCACTCAGTGAATGATACCAGTATGTCTCAGTGAGGGCTTCCTTTTGCTGATTCTTCATCAGACGGGAATTCCTGCTGGGAAATTGGCTGAGACTCAGGAAATGCAGCTCACCACTGAAACACAAGAAATCAGAGTTTTTCAAAGCTGTAAGGTAAGCTTACTAGCAGTCTGATTGGTATTTAAGTATTTCTCTACCATATCAACCTACCTGTAATCGTTTTTAAGGAAAAAAAAGTACAATTGATATTGAGATTTACCAGCTTTGAAGGGTATTGATTTCTTGTGGTAAAATAATTTTATTTGGTGAGCTGCATTTTCCAGGCCTTGAAAACATGGTAATCAAATTGTCATCATATTGGTTTCTGTGTCTAGACTGCTTTGCTATACATTATCTGAGTGTTAAGCATGTTATTGATTAATTGATTGATTGATTGATTGATTGATTGATATATTTTTGGTACCAGGGATTGAACTCAGGGGCACTCGACCACTGAGCCACATCCCCAGCCCTATTTTGTAGTTTATTTAGAGACAGGATCTCACTGAGTTGCTTAGTGCCTCACAGTTGCTGAGGCTGGCTTTGAACTCTCAATTCTCCTATCTCAGCCTCCCAAGCCACTGGGATCACATGCATGTGCCGCCTAATCATGTCTTTTAAATTCATGTAAATAAATATATACATGTATGTGTTCATTTACATAAATATGATTATTTTTGCTATATGGGAAAACGGATGCCTGTCCCGATTTTACTCCTGAATGTAGGATTTTGGACATTGGGATAAATGAGAAGAGAGAGAAGTAGATGGAGTTTGTTTTGTTTTGTTTTGTTTTCCATGTGAATGCCCTTTTATCATCAAGGATATTCTGCTTCAGTCCTTAAATCTTTTCCAAAATATACACAAAATTTAAATGGGCTGGGGGAAGAACATAGAATGAAACGAAAAATCTCTGGTAAGGATGCAATTTAAAGGTTGAAAAAAAGATTCATCCTCATGAATACATCTTTGTTGTTAAATATTTAAGAGTCAAGGCAGAACAACTAAACCAGAAAGTGGAAAAGAATAGAGGAGATAAGAGTTTTAAAACAGAATTATCAGTGTTTTAATTTTTAAAGGAACCATCAGGTATACAGATTTTGCAGGAAAAAATAGTATCCAAAGTATTGATCACTTGTTTTTCCTCCATATGAAGATGTAAAACTTGTGAAGTGTTTAAATGATTATGGGATGGAAAGTAAATTTTTCAGAACAATTAAAAGGCATGTGATACATTTTTGAAAATCTCTTAAACAACTAAAGTCAGTGAGGCAGTTTGGCATATAAAATAATGTCACCTATTACTTGGTTTGCTCCAAAAGGTTTCACATTTGGCATAATTATGGTAGTACTTATAACTTTTGGAAAACATTGCTATTTCAATTATCCCATAAGTGACACGCATATTTTTTTTATTTTCAGTGCTGGAGATTGAACCCAGGGCCTTGTGCCTGCTAGGCAAACTCTCAACCACTGATCCACATCCCCAGCTCCCAGTCCTTTTAAAAAATATATATATATATTGTTTTCTTTTTTATTTTATTTTTATTTTGAGACAGGGTCTTGCTAAATTGCCTAGGCTGACCTTGAATTTGCAGTCTTCTTGCCTCAGCCTTCCAAGTTGCTGGGATTACAGGCATGTATCACCAGGCCTGGCTTTTGGCTTGTATTTTGAGACAGTCTCACTTAAATTGCCCAGGATGGCCTCGAATTTATAATCCTCCTGGCTCATCCTCCCCTGGGATTACAGGTGTATATTTTGTGCCTGGCTAGACTCATATAGGAACATGTGTGTGTGGTGTGTGTAAGTAAATATAGGTATACACTCTTTGTATTTTGCTCAATTATTTCCTTAAATTCTTAGCAGTGAAATTTTTGGATTAGCTCCTCTGAATTTCTGGGAGCCATTTCCCTTAGATTTTTCTTTGCCATACCTACCCAAGATTCCTGAAGCAATGGTGGTTTGGAAAATATTCATCAGGATGGCATGAGAAGTAAAGGAATTCTGCTGTCGCTGTGTTGCTACTGCTTTATCTGGAACTGCAATCACACTGGCTCTCCCAGGTTCCCATAGTGATTTTTTCGAAACTTGTCGTTAGAGAAGTCTGAGCATTATAGACTGTTTCTACAATGCTAAGGACTATGTATCTAGAGATTGAAAATGACTGTCAATCTCCTATCACTATCATGCCCTTTATTTTCCTCCCAGATATATATATGGTTTCATGTAGGAGGCGAGTGTCATTTTGAGATATATCATATTATGAACTGTGAATCTTTTTATAGTATCTGTATAAGACACTCTATGTTCCCTGACATTGCAACAGGTGTAATGTTGTCATTAGCAGAGCAGCAAACATTCAGCTCAGAGAAACAGAAACTTAGCCAGAGAATGAATGAGAAGAATCTATAAGATGACTAATGAAGCATTACTTTCAAAAACCTATGTAGCTAACATTTTTATATTACGAGGCAAAACTAATTTTTGAATATGTGGAATAGTTTAGAATACTGGCTTTAAGAAGATTTTGCTCAAAGGGACTTGTATCACATATCTAGAAACACTTTTTACTCTCAATAATAGCAGTAATCAGATTCTTTGGGAAGTAATCAGAGTTAAACTGTACGGCAACAACTTAATCCTTTCTCCATTTATCTTTTTATCTGTCATGAAATATAATGGCAGATCTGATGCCGTTTTTTGTCAAATGTAATATAGTCATATGTCTCTTAATATCAGGGCCAGTTTTTAAGAAACACATCATTAGGCAGTTTCATTATTGTGCAAACATCATAGCGTATGCTTACACAAACTAAAACTACTGGACTTCACTGAGTGATGTAATCTTATGGGACCAGCCTCATAAATATGTAGTCCACCATTGACCAAAACATCATTACATATTAAAATGATGAGTGCTGGAGTTAGAACTCTGGTAAAGTGCTTGCTTAACATGTCCAAGGGTCTGGGTTTGACCCTCAGGACCTCAAAAGATAAATAAATAAAATAAAATAAATATTGGTTCCAGAGTGAGTTGTAGATAAGAATTCCCAAATAATCTTTCCTGAAAGTTTCAAAATTAGCTGAGTACCAATCTTTCAATGATAGTTTAATTATAGTTCTCTCTTGAAAAGTGGGTACATTTTTTAGAAAATGGGCTGTTAATAAGCATGGTCAGCTTAAATAATATCTAAAAGTTGAAGGACATTATTTTGGTGGTGGTGAAATTTTGATACTGTTTATAAAATATTAAAATATATGTCCAAGAATGAAAGAAATTAAAAGTGGCAGAAATCTGCATAGACCATTGAGGGAACTTGGTCAAAGGAAATATGTACTGCAGGACACTGTAGACTTGCTGCATCAGAATCTAAGGGGGGCTTACAACCTGTGTGTTTTTTCCTTTTCTTTTTCTTTCCTTTTTTTATGAGACCCAGTTTTGCTAAGTTGCGGAGCCTGGCCTCAAAGTTGTGATCCTCCTTCCTCGGCCTTCCAAGTCACTGGAATTAATAGGCGTGTGCCACCACGCCAACTACATGTGTTTTGAAGAGCTTCCTTAGTGTGCTACTCTGCACACCAATTGCCTATGGGATACTCGCCAAATACTTCTTATAGATCACATCTGATAAGCAGAGTAGTTGATGAAAAGTTTTGCAGTTTTTAAATTTAAGTTCAAGCTCTATTTTTTGTATTACTGATCACCATAAAGTCTACCTGTCTTTATGTAATTTAATATTTTTTTCTCACCCCTGGTGTGACTATGTAATTTTGTAAATACTATATATTTGTACTGTCAATTTTATAAATACTGTATATTTGTATTATGTGTTTTCATCTTATCTTCATTGCTTGAGTTAGAAATTAATGCAGAATTAAGAACCTATGTCTTTACATATGTTTATAAATGAATAAACATACCTTTTACTTGTATGTCTGATACATGTTGACTACCTATTTCAGTGTACCATAATATTGATAACTAATGTATAGAAATTCTATACACTGCCATCTAGAGCAGAAGTATAGAGAATTTCTCTGCCTTTTTTTTTAATACCAGGAGAAAATAGAAAATCTTGAAAGATAATGTTTTCAGGTGGTTTAAATGCTGGTTTAGTAAGTGACCAATTTCCCTCTTTTACCTTTGTGTTTCTCATAAATACTCAGAAAAATTTGGGGGCAAAGATTAAGAAGAATCAGCTCCAGGCATGAGTCAAGAGCCTTCTAAAGAATTGAATGATAATTTAAAAATTCATGAATAGTCACTTGAGACTCACTTTTACGTGAGAAAGCCAAAGATTTTCCAGGCCTTCTACACAGATAGGAACATTGAGATGAATAGTAGTTTTCCATGAAAATTTTACTCTTGCAAAGTTCTGCCTGGCTTTGGGATTACCAAGATGACAGTCTCTCAAATATAAATTATTTTTTGGTAATAATGATAGCTAATACTTAAATAGTGCTTACTATTCTAAGCCTTTATGTAATCCTCCTGACAACTTTGTTAAGTGGATACTATTATCTCCTTTTTACAGATCAGGAAACTGGAGCACAGAGAACTTTGATATTCCCAAGTAACTCAGTATTATGCTATGGTAGGATTCTAACTGGCAAAGTCTTGACTCAAGAGTCCATACTCTTTTTTTTTTTTCCAGCCCTGGGGATAGAACCCAGGGCCTCAAGCATGCTAGGCAAGCATTCCACCACTGAGTGACACAACCCCAGAGTAAACACTTTTAACTACAAAATAGTCCATAGCACCTATACTGATAATCTGGGAACTTTTTAAGTCTCTTCTCATTTTAAGAAGAAATCCATCTGAGAGAAGTCTTAGTGTAAAAAGTTATTTCAGTTTTAGAAAGGGGTATGCTTTTTTTATTAAGGTAAGTTTACATGTAGTGAATTTCACAGATCTGAAATGTATAATTCAAAGAGTTTTGACGAAAGTGTACACCAGTGTAACCTAAAACTCAGTTAAGATATAGAACATTTCCATCATACCAGAAAGTTCCCTGATGCCCCCTGCAGTCAATCCCACTTCCATCTTCAACCATTCCTCTAGTGTTTATATTGCTTCATTATTTTGCCTATTTTTTCTTTCTTTCTTTCTTTTTGATACCATGGAATAAACCCAGGGGCACTTAACCCTGAGCCACATCTCCAGCTCTTTTTATTTTTTATTTTGAGACAGGGCCTCACTAAGTTGCTGAGGCTGGATTTGAACTTTCAATCCTCCTTCCTAGCTTCCCAAATACCTGGGATTAACAGATGTACACCATTGCACCCAGATATTTTGTATGTTCTTAATGTCCTATAAGTGAATATACAGAATCAAATAGTTGTGCCCCATGTGGCTTATTTTGTTCAACATATGCAAATAAAATCTAATTCAAATATTATAATTGGCTCATTTCAAGGCTAGGGATGTAGCTCAGCAGTGGAGCACTTGCCTGGCACCCATGAGGCACTGGGTTCGAGCCTCAGAACCGCATACAAATAAATAAAATAAAAGAATCCTGTTCTTGTACAGTTATTTTTAAATAAAAATAATCTGGTCATTTCATTTTTTTCAGAGAGATCTGTTTTACCTTATAAAGGAATCACGAGCTTTTTCATTCTCATTCTCCTACTGTATAGTAGTAAAATCAGTTCATGAACTACTTCTTTATTTACAGTAGTAACTACCTGGTATTAAGTAGAATTCTTTTTAGAATTAGACCATATTAATTCCTAGTCTAGTTAGTTTGAGGAAATAATTAAAATACATACCTAGATTGTAGTAGAAACTTGCATCTTTCTATCCATTTTTTAGTCTTTATTTCACTTTCCTCTCTGGGTTTTCTGCTTGGCCAAGAAAATATGAAAATCATTCTTCTTGCTCTCTTGAGCATCCCCAAGTCCTGAATGTCTTGGAAGAATTTTACTTCTTGGCTGCAGAGTCTTGGAACTGCTTATGAGACTTTGCTACTTGAAAAGTCCAGTTTTATGACATTCAGGCTTTTGACTGGTTAAATAAACTTGTTAGAAAAGCCTGCCCATCCATAATTGATTTCACATGACAAAATAATGACTTTGTTTCGTAATACTTTACAATTTGACAGAGTGCCAGAATGTCTATTCAGAAACAGCTTTATCAGAAGAAATTCAGGTCAGATTGACTATAATACTTAGTTCTGTGATCAAAGGCCACTGCAACTGCCAAGTTGACTTCTAGGGCTTAAAGTTCATTGCTTTATCATACCTTTTACCCCGCCTCTCCTTCAAATGAAAAGAAAAGATATCTTTATCCTGGGTAATTTTTCTGTTGCCACAGAGTTCTTTATTACTTGGAGATTTTGAAACTTGGGAAACATTTAGTTAATGATCACTCTCTGGTGTTGATAATTTGTAGACTTGGGAAAGTATAGCCAGCAGTTTCAACATTTCTCATGTAGTCATTTGTGTGAAATTGGATTTGACAAATAAAGGAATGCTTTAAATGGTGTGAAAGATTGTTTTCCAATCCTACTTTGGTTTCAAAATAATTATTTATTTTTCAGAAGTTACTTCTTGATATCTGTTAATGTATACTCTATTGTTAATGAAAATGAGATAATAATTTAATGAAATTATTAAAATTATGAATTTCTTTCTGATCAGAATTCTTTTGTTGGGGGATGAACCCAGGGCCATACACATGCTAAAAGCACATGCTCTACCACTGAAATTTTTTTAGACACAAAATGAATTGATTTTTTTTTCTTAAAGCAAATTTTAGGAAAAGAAGAAAGTGAAATAGCAAAAAAGAAAAGGTCAAATAATCCACCAATTATAGTCAGACTCTGCTTTTATAAAAAAGTACTCACTGCTTGAGTAAAGTAGGAAATTTTCAATGAATAGTTATCAGAGACTTAAGATATTCTTCAGCTCAGTACAAAGTTCAGTATTCTACCTGAGAGTCCTAGATAACTCCTAGCCAGCTCGGTCTTAAAAAATTTTTTTGATATGAGTTCCTTTCCAGCCCTCTGTATTTGCCTGGTTCAGACTGGCCTGTAAGGCCCTCAGTTATCTCTTCTGTTTCTTGTCCACTTCAATAATAACTATGTAAACTTTTTTTCTTTTGTACAGTCTAGAAAATTAAAATTATTTTTATTAAACGTATACTACAGAATTTGATCACATTTGCTGTTTTACATGGGTAAAAGAACTGGACAGTTCCAAAGTAATCATAAACAACTGAGTTGCATGTGCTAAACTTGATTTCTAAGAAAATTCAAAGGTCTTTGACCCAGCAATTTCTCTGCTGGGACTATCCCATAGGAACATAAGTCATGAAATTACCAAGATATAATTACAAATATGTTTATTATAGCAGCAGAAAACTAAAAACAATGTGAATTCCTACCAGTATAGAGCTTGCTCTAAAAGTTGTGCTATTCTAAAATGTTTTGGAGACATCAAGCAGATCAGATGGATTGAAGCTATACCAGATGACTCAGAGGGAAGGATTTCCATTGATATTGTGTTATATTAGAAAAGCAAGATACAGAAAAGAGTGTACAATATTGCATTTTTGTCAAACAATAGTGATTAAAAAAACATCGTGTATTCATGATTATGTAAGTATTGAGAAAAGTAAGGAAGGATACATATTAGTTTACAGATATGGGTGGGGTGCTGATGTAGGTAGTATAAGGAAGAAGGAGCCAATGAAGGAAAGGAGAAAGATATTTAATGAAAGATTTCAGTAAGATGTGATTACATTCATGCATAACTATGGGAAATATATATAGATACATATAGAGAGAAATAATTGCCTTTTAAAATAACTCAAAGGATAAAATATGATTACATTTTTACTTAATTATAGGATACATGTCTAGAGATATGTATATATATAATTTGTATATAAGTATATAAATTATAAATTTATAAATGTGTATATTATATAAAATTTAAAATAGTTACCTTTTTAAAAAAATAACTCAAAGAGTTAAACCAACATGATCTGGGTTGATCAAGAAAGCATTTTAATGAGAACAATCTAAAAACAAGCTTACAAATGTTTTAAGCCAAGATCTTAGAGGGAATTAGTATGGAGGGAGATAAAATTTCAGAAAGGTGACACATTGTAAACAAGGTAACATTGTGAACAAGGGAAGAATAGACTGGACTTATCTAAGAAAAGAAGGAATTAGTTGTAGAATAACTGGAGAAATTATTAGAATAAAGTTGGCTGAGTCATCAAAGATCATATATTGTGCAGTGACCTATATATGAAATCTCTGCAAAAAGGCAAATCCCAATACAAAAATAAGTTAGCGGTTGCCAATTAGTGGAAGGCTTTGGGAAAAAATGGGGAGTAACTGCTCTTGGACATGAGGTTTCTTTTTGGATTGATGAAATGTTCTAAAATTAACAATATGGTGACTATGTTTAACAATATATTGTGTTGTTGAAAAATGCTGAGAATGGATATAAAGTGTTTCTACCTCAAAAACTGATAACTATGTGAGGTAATATGTATTTTAATTCACTAGATTTTTTTCATTCCATAATGTACATATGATTTAAAATATGTATACACAGAAAATATATATAATTCTATCAACTTTAAAAATAAATAAGTTAAAAAATTGATTGTGCAGTCTACATCTGAACCACAATCCCAACCCAGTCTGGCTTATCGTCTTAATACCCTGTGTGCTGTGAGGGGATGTAGCACAAATAGAAGAAATGAACTTGGGGATCTTCACCTAATATTAAACTGCCTTATTACTTTGGCACTGTAGACATGCAAAGTATCACTTGCATTTGTCATTTCTAGGGGAGGTGACACCAGGACTATCTCAGGTGGAATATGCACTTCGTAGACACAAACTGATGTCTCTGATCTACACGGAAGCACAGGAGCAAAGTGGGACAGACCAGACAGTGGTTGTGCTCTCCAATCCTACGTACTACATGAGCAATGACATTCCCTACACTTTCCACCAAGACAACAATTTCCTGTACCTGTGTGGATTCCAAGAGCCTGATAGCATTCTGGTCCTTCAGAGCCTGCCTGACAAGGAGTTACCATCACATAAGGCCATGCTTTTTGTGCCTCGGAGAGACCCCAGTCGAGAACTTTGGGATGGTCCTCGATCTGGCACGGATGGAGCAATAGCTCTAACTGGAGTCGATGAAGCCTATACACTAGAAGAATTTCAACATCTAGTACCAAAGCTGAAAGGTAACAAATGGGAGCAGAAGTCAAGATACAGACCAGGTTGGGATTAAGACCCTTCCTTGCCTACTGAGTTTTAACTTTTCTAAAATAATTACCATAGCAGCATTTCCTCTGAGTGCTGTGAAGGAGACATAAGTGATCTCCAGAAAACTGAGCTACTTTAAAGACTTCATCCATTTGTTAAATCTTGACTAGGTCATTCTTTAACAAAGGCTGTTAATTAGGGCTGGGGTTGTGGCTCAGCAGTAGAGCGCTCGCCTTGCACATGCAAGGCCCTGGGTTCGATCCTGAGCACCATATAAAAATAAATAAATAAAGTTATTGTGTACAACTCCAAAAAAAAAAAAAAATGCTGTTAATCATCCTATTTTGAAACCCAGAGAGAGAATTTTCTTTTAAAGTGAAGGGGTAGGTTGGGTGCATCCTTACACATCTGTAATCCCAGGAACTCAGGAGGCCAGCCTCAACAACTTGGTGAGACTCTGTCTCAAAAATAATAATAAATAATATCGTTCAGTGGTAGAGTGCCTCTGGTTTCAATCCCTAGTAACCCCCAACTCAATTTTTTTTTTTTTTGTAATTAAAATGAAGTGTGGACATGAACCTCTTTTCAAGAACATTTACCAGGAACTAGGGCTGTAGCTCAGTGACAACACACTTTGCCTCACATCTTGAGATCCTGAGTTAGATCCCCAGTAACCCCCACCAAAAAAAGAACACTGACCAGCCAATTAACCATTGAACACCTGCATCAGAATCATCTCTAATATTAGAACTATAAACGCATAGTATATATTGGAAATGTAAAGTCTCAGGCTCTGACATCATGCCTTCTGAATCAGAATGTTCATATTAACAAGATTCTCAGGAGATTCATATGCAAGTTGCGTTTCTCTACATTCTGGTAGAATTTTTTTCAATAAGGGATATTGAATCTAGAAGCATTCTAATTCTGAGCTACATCCCCAACTCTTTTAAAGTGTATTTTATTTTGAGATGGGGTTTGAGTTGCCCAGGCTGGCCTCAAATTGTGTATATGAATCTCCTGAGAATCTTGTTAAAATGAAGATTCTGATTTGGAAGGCATGAAGTGACTTTGAGACTTTATATTTCCTATATATATTAAGCATCTGATTTTCTGGCATTGCTTGTAAATCATTTCTGAAGTCACTTTCTAAAAGAGAATTCCAAAAATGTTTTTGACATTCATTTCTGTAGTTCTAGGGATTAAACCCAGGGCCTCATGGAAGCACTCTCCCACTGAGCTATATCCCTAGTTCTTTTTTAAATTTTATTTTGAGATAGGTTCTTGCCAAGTTGCCCGAGCTGGCCTTGAACTTGTGATCCTCCTGCCTCAGCCTCCTGGGTAACTGGGTTAACAGGCATACACCGCCACTCCTGGCACTGAAATCATATATTTATATAAAAGTTTTAAAACCTGAAAAAAGTTGAGCTATGATTTCATATACTAACAGCAAGTGATATAGGTTGTTTAACTTTTTTTAAAGTCACAATGAATTTCCTTCTATCATGAGTAAGATATTTCCCACAATGTACATGTAAAACCATTTTTATTTTAAAATGTTTAAGATGTAGTATCACTAATGCATATCTAATCAAAGTTTTCTGTGCACTTTCTCTCTTCTATCCCAAGGTACTCTTCATTATATAAAACATATAACCCTTCAGACTTACATAATTAGGAATACCATTCATAGTCCATTCTCAGAAAAAATAAATAAATAAAATATATATGGTGTTAAGTACAAATCATTTTCATAATGAGCCTTCATATCATGTATCTTAGGCATATATAGACTATTTCCATAGGTCTCTAAAGTTAAAAGAATTGTGTGTGAACACAACACCAGGTGTGTTGGTGATGCCTGTAATTCCAGCAATTCAGGAGACTGAGGCAGGAGAATCACAAGTTCAAGGCCAGCCTCAGCAATTTAGCAAGACCCTGTCTCAAAATAAAAATGGGCTAGGAATGTAGCTCAGTGGAAAAGTGCCCCTAGGTTCAATCCCCAGTACCCACAAAGAAGTTAAAAGTATTATTTACAAAAAGAATAGGTAGAAGTTGAAAAGGAGAGATACACATATTATGAAGTAGAGATCTTTCTTTCTTTCCTTCCTTCCTTCCTTTCTTTCTTTCCCTTCCTTTCTTTCCCTCCCTTCCTTCCTTCCTTTCCCTCCCTTCCTTCCTCCCTCCCTCCCTCCCTCCCTCCCTTCCTTCCTTCCTTCCTTCCTTCCTTCCTTCCTTCGATTGAACTCAGGGGCACTCGACCACTGAGCCACATCCCCAACCCTATTTTGTATTTTTTTTTTTTTTTCCTATTTTGTATTTTATTTAGAGATGGGTTCTCAATGAGTTGCTTGGCATTCCACTTTTGCTGAGGCTGGCTTTGAACTCATGATTCTTCTGTCTCAGCCTCCCGAGCCATTGGGATTACAAGCATTCACCACCATGCCCGCCTATGAACTCGAGTGTTATAACAAGGAATAATTGCTCCAAAATAAGAGAAGAACTTGTTCCAGTAGAACTGAGATTATTTTGTGAGGGGATGAGATTCTTTTACATAAAATCATGATCTGAGCACTTTCTTCTGATCTATTTTGTGTGCAGTTACTCAGCAGTACTCTGGATCAATAATGGTGGTAGAGAATAATTGTTATAATTGTTCTTTAACAACTAGTAATAAAGATAAAGCTGTATTTAATTTATTTTTTTTTGTAGTTGTAAATGGACAGAATGCCTTTATTTTATTTATTTTATGTGGTGCTAAGGATCAAACCCAGTGCCTTACACACGCTAGACAAGTACTCTACCACTGAGCCCCAGGCCCAGCTCCCCATCTATCATTTTTTTTAAAAGATATCTTTTTTAATGTTTTTTTAGTTGTCAATAGACTTTATTTATATGCGGTGCTGAGAATCAAACACAGTGTCTCACACATTCTAGGCAAGTGCTCTACCACTGACCCACAACCTCAGCCCCCATTTATCATTTTTATGGCATTTCTTCTTTTTATTTTTTGTTTCGTTCTGGCCTCATAAGTGCTAAGCATGTGCTTCTTCTCCGACCTCTCCCCATCCCCCAACTCCTATTAATATTATTTTATTTTATTTTTTGGTACCAGGTATTGAACTCAGGCACTCAACCTCTGAGCCACATCCCCAGCCCATTTTTGCATTTTGTTTAGAGACAGGATCTCACTGAGTTGCTTAGCACCTTGCTTTTTGTTGAGGCTGACTTTGAACTTATGATCCTCCTGCCTTAGCCTTCTAAGCTGTTGGGATTACAGGCATGTGCCACCATGCCTGGCCTATTAATTTTATTTTTTGAATTTCTTTTTTTTTCTCATTCTAAGCTGAGTCGAACATCATTTGGTATGACTGGATGAAGCCTTCTCATGCACAGCTTCATTCTGACTACATGCAGAGTGTGACTGAGGCCAAAGCCAGGAGCAAGAACAAGGTTCGGGGTGTTCAGCATCTGGTACAGCGCCTCCGGCTAATCAAATCTTCTGCAGAAATTGAGAGAATGCAGATTGCTGGGAAGCTGACATCACAGGTATGGTTCCTATTGAAAAGGTTTTTTTTTTTTTTTGGTATCAGGGTTTGAACCTAGGGGCACCCTATCACTAAGCTACATCCCCAAGACCTTTATAATTTTATAGAGTTTTGGTAAGTTGCCAAGGCTGCTCTTCAGCTTCTAATCCCCCTGCCTCAGCCTCCAGAGTAGCTGGGATTTCAGGCATTCTTCACTGGGCCCAACTTGAAAAAGTTCTTTCCGAGTTACAAAAATCACAAGTTCTTAGGGTTCATTGGGCACCTTCAGGTTATATACTTAACATTATAGGCAGATGAACATCTAGCTTTGACTTCAGTATGTTTAGTGAACATATCTAGAGACCTGCTCAATACCTTGCAGCAAATTTGCCTTTTTTTTCCCCCTCTTTGTGATACTGGGGATTGAGCCCAGGGGCACCGTAATGCTATAATGCTAAGCTATATCCCCAACCCTTTTTATTTTTCATCTTGAAACAGTGTCTTGTTACGTTGCTCAGGCTAGCCTCAAATTTGCAATCCTCCTACCTCAATCACTGGGATTGCAGGTGTACGCCATTATACCCAGCCATAAATCTGCCTTCTTTTTAATGGAAATAAGCATGCCATAGTTGAAGGGGAATCTTTTACTCATCAAAGTTAGTTGCTCTTCCTCTTATTGCCAGGGTGGTTTGGGCATGGTATCTTAGTGTATGTTTTAATTGTAAGGCACATTTTGTTAGCACTCTGCTTGCCACTATTGTCCTTACTCTTGGAATCAGATGCATTTAAGGCACCTTGATTATGTTAGAAGATCTTTTTCATCTGGGTGACTTTCCTTATTAAAAGAAAACCTAAGGGCTGGGAATATAGCTCAGTGGTAGAGCACTTGCCTATCATGTGTGAGGCACTGGGTTCAATTCTCAGCACCGCATATAAATAAATGAAAATAAAGATCCATCAACAACAACTAAAAAAATTTTTTTTAAAAATTTATCTGAGCCAGGCATGGTGTCACACACCTGTAATCTCAGTGGCTCTGGAGACTGAGATAGGAGGATCACAAATTCAAAGGCAGCCTCAGCAAAAGTAAGGTGCTAAGAACTCATTAAGAACCCTATCTCTACATAAAATACAAAATAGGGCTGGGGATGTAGCTCAGTAACAGAGCACCCTTGGGTTCAATCCCCCAGTACCTGCCCCCCCCCCAAGAAAAAAAAAAACGAAGAAGAAGAAAATATATCCAAAGTGAGTGTAGTGGCTGTAGTCCTAGCTACTGGGGAGGCTGAGGCAAGAGGATTATTTGAGACCAGGAGATCAAGACCAGCTTGGCAACATAATGATAACCATTTCTAAAAAGAAACCAAAAACTCCCAAATCTACCTAGCCAATTATTGCTAGCCCAGTTCCTAATTCCACTAAATTTTACTTACTTTGGATAAGGCAATAACAGACATGTTGTTGCTGTTAGGAGTCTCCTAGGCATGGGTCATATGAATGATAATCACACATGGATAGATTGATTTAAATGTAGCATAGCACTTTCCATGATCATACATACACCTTGAAATTTGAAATGTCAGAAACATCAAGTTGGGGCTGGAGATGTGGCTCAAGCGGTAGCGCGCTTGCGGCCCAGATTCGATACATCACATACAAATAAAGATGTTGTGTCCACCGAAAACTAAAAAATGAAATAATAAAAAAAAAATTCTCTCTCTCTCTCTCTCTCTCTCTCTCTCTCAAAGAAAAAGAAAAAAAGAAACATCAAGTTATATCTAGTTCTTGTCAGTAAGCCAAGTGACCCGATTGTCCCGCCACCCATAATAACAAAGCAGATAGCTAATTTTTACTCTTTTTACTCATATTATGACAAATGGGACAGGGTAGTAAATAACTTTCTACCATCACATTTTGATATGTTTTAAAAACCTTTATCATCACAATTAATGGCTATTTAACGTTCATTTACAGTGTTTTTCTAATAGTCTTACAGGTTCTTCCCAACGTGAGTCCTTACTAATAGATGCATTCTGTAAAACAAGCATCAAAAGACAAAGCCTAGCCAGGCATGATGGTGCATGCCTGTAATCTCAGCAACTTGGGAAGGCTGAGGCAAGAGGATTGTAAGTTCAAATCCAGCCTCAGCAGCTCAATTAGAGCTCAATGTCTCTAATAAAATATAAAAAAAGGGCTGGGGATATGTCTCAATTTTTAAGTGCCCCTGGGTTCAATCCCTGGTACCGAAAAACAAAACAAAAGACAAAGCCTCATTTGTATTGTTCCATATGCTTGTAGAAGATACTCCTATCTCTTCTGCTATTTTAAAGAATATGACACTCTTAGAAGTGTTTTTGTTAGGTTGGCTGTTGTCCACATCTTCCTTTGAGCTTTCTGAAGAGGAGCTTTTATAAGAGACCTTTACTCTAAGGGGCATCTGAGTCAAAACTAAGAGAAAATATTACTCTCATGAATTTAGCATCTCTTGCACCCAAAGCATCTCTTGAGCTTTTGAAACACACCTTGACTTTCTCACTTCCCTGCAGTAACAATCTCACCTTTCTTCCATTTATTATTAATTTTTCATTTATTTTTATTTTCCATATTTTAAATGAACAACAAGGTTTGTGTATATTGTCAACCTCAATAACAGAGATTCTCTGAAGATTAATGATATCTATTTGAGAACAGTAGTTCATTGCATTGGGAATGTGCATGCCATAGTTGAACTATAAGTGTATTCAAAGAGGTTGAGGCAAGGGGAAGTTTTTAAAGGAAAAATGCAGAAGATTACATCAGATATTTTGAAACAATAATCCTTGGCCACAGGGATGCATAATAAGGGCAGTGCCAGACTAAAGTTGAACAGTTTCCTTATGTAACAGTTGCAATGGCCTTTGTGCATGATTGTGGTTCTGGCAGTCTTTTGTGATAATTATCCAGTTTTATTTATTTGTTACAACTGATACAAGCAACTCCATTTTCTGACAGGATTCATAGTATGAATAATGAAATGATTACTACAGTAGTCAAATTTATCATTAATTTTAACCCACACTCTTCCCACTGAAATACACTTTCTAGTTCAACTGCTAAGCTGAGCTGTCCATTCTTATGAGAAGAGAATAGATTGGTTAACTACAGGAAAATGGGACTATGCTGTAGGCAACCAGAGTAATATTAGTAATCTGAGCTTCATTGCGCCCCAGTGGTATATGTTATTATTCAGCACATTACTGCCACAGCCTTTCTTTCAGTCATTTCATATCACTATAGGTATGTTCCCTAGCTTTCCTGGGCCAGGCCCTCAGATGATTTAGAGTAGCAGTTAGTGTCCCAGACTGCAGGAACCTGATAAAAGGAGTCTGGGGTTATGGATTAGGGGTCAGTTTGTATATCAAATATGTGCTCTAGGCAAGGTTGTTTTTTCTCTGTAGGAAATGTCTACTCTGGGAAGAGCAGTCTGTCCAGGTCAGTAAGACCCAGATAACAGAGAAATAAGAATAGCAAAAAAGCTAGGTGTGGTGGCCCACTCCTGTAATCCTAGCAGCTTTGGTAGGCCATGTCAGGAGAATTAGCAAGTTCAACACCAGCCTCAGCAATTTAGTGAGGCCCTAAACAGCTAAGTGAGGTCCTGTCTCAAAATAAAAAAGTAGAAAGGGCTGGAAAGTAAAATAAAATAAGAAAATGTAGTTAATATGCCATTCATATTAGGTTTAGGTTCCCTGTCTTACCTAGACCTAATATGGTAAGACAGGTCTATGGTAAACTGTCCTGTGACAATAAAGAGGAGATAGAGATTTTTGTTGTTGCTGGGGGATTGAACCCAGGGCCTTGTGGATACTAAGCATATGCTCAGATACTCAGCTATACCTCCAGCCCCTCAATTGGGCTATTTGCTTAAGTTATATATCCTTCACTGAATAACAACCCCTTGCTCAAAGGTTTTTTTCATCCTCTAATTTTAGTGTGCCACTTGAATTATTTTAGTTGTTAGTGTCATAAGATTAACTGAGTCATCAAAAATGATTTCTTTTGGTTAGATCGCCATCTGTTGACCAAAGAGAGAACGCGTAAAGGATCCAGAGCTTCCTTTTAGCCATAGCTTACAGCAGTAACCACACTGAATATTTTAGCAGATCTTCCATCAGTTTCCTTTTCCCCTCCAAATCCTCTTTTCTAGAGTCTTAAGTTTCAAAACATGTGCTACTTCAAACCAAGAATGGCCTGGCTAATTCTTTTTTTATCATCTCTAATTTTTTTTTCAAAATAACACTTTAGCCATAGTTTAGTTTGGGATGAGTCAGATGTGCTGGGACAACTGGATATCCACATGCAAAAGAATAAAATTTTTTTGCTGGGGGGTACTGGGAAACAAGGGCACTCACCACTGAGCCACATCCCCAACCCTATTTGATATTTTTTATTTAGAAGACAGGATCTTACTGATTTGCTAAGCGCCTCCCAGTTTCTGAGGCTGGCTCGGAATTCATAATCCTCCTGCCTCAGCCTCATAAGCCACTGGGATTATAGGCATGTGCCACCAAAAAGAATAAAATTTTTATCTCTACCTCTCGTCATATATGAAAATTAACTCAAAATTGGTTAGTTACCTAAACTTAAGAGACAAAACTATAAAACTTGTTGAAGAAAACAGAGTAAGAAGCTGGGGTTGTGGCTCAGCGATAGAGCACTCGCCTAACACATGCGAGGCCCTGGATTCGATCCTCAGCACCACATAAAAAAATAATAATAATAAGTAAAATAAAGGTATGTGTCCAACTACAACTAAAAAAAAATCAATATTTAAAAAAAAAAAACATAGAGTAAGTCTTCATGACTTTTTGGTTGCCAATGGATTCTTAGATTTAATTCCAAAAGCAAAGGCCACAAAGAAGAAATGGACTTCACCAAAATATGAAATTTTTTACATGAAAAGGCAATATCAAGAAAGTGAAAAAAACTACAGAATGGGAGAAAATATTACAGATCATTATCTGATAAAGGTCTAGTATCCAGAATATA